ATAATGCTTTTTATTCTGGTGAAAACAATGTAATATCCCCACTTTATTTCTGATTTTATTAATTTGACTCTTCATTCCTTTTTTCTTAATTACTTTAAAGGTCTGTCAATTATGTTGACCTTTTAAAAGAACCAATATTTTTATTTTCTCTATTGTTTTTCTCTTCTCTGTTTTATTTACCTCCACTTTGATCTTTATTGTTTCCTTCCTTCTGCTCGTTTTGGGTTTAGTTTGCTCTTCTTTTTCTAGTTCCATAACAATGTGCAGTTAGGTTGTTGGTTTTATTATTTATTTATTTATTTAAAGTTTTTTGTGGGGCTTGAATTCACAACCCTGAGATCAAGACCTGAACTGAAATCAAGAGTCAGACACTTAACCTACTGAGCCAACAGGTGCCACAGGTTGTTGATTTTAGATTATTCTTTTTAATGTATGTTTTTGCTACTATGAATTGCCCTCTTAGTGCTGCACTCACTGCATCATACCAGTTTTGTATACTGTGTTTTCCCTTTCAAACATCTGATATTTTTAATTTCCATTGTGATTTCTTCTTTGAAATATTGGCTAAGTGTTTGTTGTTTAGTCTCCAAATTTGTGAATTTCCACCTTTTTTCCCATTATTGATTTGTGCTTTCATTCTATTATGATGAGAAAAGATGCTTTGTATAATTTAAATCTTTTTAAATTTATTAAGATATGCTTTGTGGCCTCACATGTGATCTGTCCTGGACTGTGTTCAATGTTGATTTAAGAAGAATGTGTATTCTGCTATTGTTGGGTGGAATGTTCTGTATAATCCAATTAGGTCTAGTGGTTTTAAAGTGGTGTTCACATTCTCTATTTCTTTATTGGTCTTCTGTCTAGTTGTTCTGTCCATTAATGAAAATGAGGTATTGAAGGTTCCAACTCTTATTGTAGACTTGTTTATTTCTCCTTCCAGTTCTGTCAATTTTTGTTTCAAATATTATTGGCCTCTGTTTTTAGGTGTGTATATATCTATAATTTTTATATAATCTTGCTGAATTGACTTTTGTATTTGATATTTGTATATATTGCAAAGTAATCATCATGTAAGTCTAGTTAACATCTGTCACTATACATAGTTACAAAATTCTTTTTTCTTGTGATGAAAACTTAAGATCTACTCTCTTAGCAACTTTTAAATATGTAATACAGTATTATCAACTGTAATTGCCATGCTGTACATTACACCCTCCACCTCTGGCAACCACCAATCTATTCTCTGTATCTATGAGCTTAAGAGTTTTTGTTTTTGTTTTAGTGAATTGAGCTTTATCAATGTATAGTGTCCTTATCTGTCTCATATATATATATATATACACACCCATATATACATATATATATATATACACACACACACACATATATATATATATATATAAATTGGCAAAAGATCTAAAGAGGCACCTCACCAAAGAAAACATTCTGATAGCAAATAAGTGTATAGAAAGATGTTCAACATCATGTCTCTAGGGAACTGCTAATTAAAACAAGATACCACTACCTGCTAATTAGGATGGCTAAATTTAAAAGTCCTGACATCACCAAGTGCTGACAAAGATGTGGAACAATAGGAACTTCCATTCATTGATGGTGGGAATGCAAAATTATAGAATGCCACAGCCATTTTGAAAGACAGTTTGTCAGTATCTGACAAGACTAAACATACTCATAACATGATATAGTAATAATACATCTTCATATTTACCCGAATGAGTTGAAAATTTATGTCCATCCAAAAATCTGCTCATGAATGTTTATAACAGCTTTATTCATAGGTGCCAAAATATGGAGGTAATTATGATGTCCTGTAATAGGTGAATGGATAAACGGTGGTAAATCCATACAATGGAATATTTTTCAGTGATAAAAACAAATGGGCCTGTGGTGCCTGAGTGGTGCAGTTGGTTAAGTGTCCAACTCTTGATTTCAGCTCAGGTCTCACGGTCATGGGATCAAGCCCCGCTTTGGGCTCTAACGCTCAGCACAGAGTCTGCTTGAGATTCTCTCTCCCTCTCCCTCTGCCCCTCACCTCTCTCTCTCTCTCTCAGGTAAATAAATAAATCTTTTTAAAAAATGGCCTACCAAGCCACAAAAAACATGAAGGAAGTTTAAATGTATATTGCTAAGTGAAAGAAGTCAATCTAAAATGATCACATGCTGTATGATTCCAACTATATGACATTCTGGAAGAGGTAAAAGATCAGTGATAGCCAGTTCTTTAGAGGTTGGGTGGAAGGGATGAATGAATGGGACACAGAAGATTTTTAGGGCAGTGAAACTATTCTGCATGATAGAGTAATGGTAGATACATGGAATTACATATTTGCCAAAGACATAGAATGTACAACAGAAAAAGTTAGCTAAAATGTAAGCGATGGAATTTAGTTAGTAATGGCGTATCGTTATTGGCTTATCAATTGCAAGTAATGTATTACAATAATGCAAAATGCTTGTAATACCTGAAACAGGAGGGGATATGTAGGAACTTTGTACTTTACATCATTTTTTTGTAAACCTAAAACTGTTCAAAAAATTACATTTATTAATTAAGTAAAAAATAGTAGGAACTTTGAAGCAGAATGCATGTTTTCATATTCTAGCTGTATTTTTATGAGCTGATTGACCTTGGGCAAGTTACTGAACTTTCTTGTGTCAGTTTCCCTTCTTTAAAATGGAAAGAATACATCATACTCGATGGTGAAAAACTGAGAGCTTTTACGCTAAGGTCAGGAAGAACACAAGAATATCTACTGTCACTACTTTTATTCAATATAGTACTAGAAGTCCTAGCCACAGCAATCAGACAACATAAAGAAATAAAAGGCATCCAAATTGGTAAAGAAGTAAAACTCTCACTATTTGCAGATGACGTGATACTCTATATAGAAAACCCTAAAGCCTCCACCGAAAAACTACTAGAACTGATAAATGCAATCAGTCAAGTTGCAAGATACAAAATCAACATAGAGAAATATGTTGCATTTCTATATACTAATAATGAAGCAGCAGAAAGAGAAATTAAGAAAACAATCTAATTTACAGTTGCACCAAAAACAATAATGACATATCCAATAAAGGGTTAGTATCCAAAATACATAAAGAACTAATAATAGTCAGTATCCCAAAAATAAATAATCCAATTGAAAAATGGGCAGAAGACATGAACAGATATTTCTCCAAAGAAGACATTCAGTTGGTCAACAGACCCATGAAAAGATACTCACCCTCACTCATCATCAGGGAAATGCAAATCAAAACTACAATCAGTATCCCTCATACCTGTCAGAATGCTTAAAATCTAAATGCAAGAAACAACAAGTATTGGCGAGGATGTGGAGAAAAAGGAACCCTCATGCACTATTGGTGGGAATGCAAACTGTTGCAGCCACTGTGGAAAACAGTATGGAGGTTCCTCAAAAAGTTAAATGTAATATAATATATTAATATATGTAAATCACCTAGAACAATGTCTATCATATAGTAAGTCCTACATAAACATAAACTACAGTCCTTTAATCTTCAAAACAGCTAGCACCATTTTACAGACGAGGTAAATCACATTTTCAAGGCTAAATTAGTAGTGGCAGAACAAGTGTGTGATTTCAGCTTCTATCCAAAGCCTGTGTTCTTTGCACTATGTATCCTGTCTTTTTATAATGTGTTTGTAAACTCCTATGTAAAATAAGAAAGCCATGTTTATAATAGGATATGAAATTTAACCTGAAACTTAAGTGACTTTATATTTTAAAATAAAAAGATTAAAAATGATAAGATAGGAGTGACATCAGCAAGATGGCAATATAGGAGATCCAACACCTGTATCCCCATTCAGCAACAGTAACTTGAAAGCCATCCACAGCAAAAGTGCCTTTGTGGGAACTGTGGGATCCAGGTGGGAAATTATGAAACCCCGGTGGAATCCAAGACTGAGGAGGGCCATTTTGAAAAGGCAGGCTTGTGCCCCTGTGGTGGATGTGCCAACCAAGGTCCTGGCTATAGATCAAGAAATAGCCCTGTCCCTTCTGTGGACTCAATTATAGCCCCATTGGGCTTGAGTGCTGCCACCAGCACTTTATGAGAAGGAGCTAGCAGGACTCATTGCCGTCCATGCCCTGTCTAACAAGCACATGGAATTTAGTCCCATCTGCGGACCCTGAAGTGGTCATGGCCCGGCTTCAACCCTTCTCAGCCATGATTCCTGCCCACCTAGCACCTTGGAGAAGACACACCTGTCTGTGCACCTGAGGCAGACCCTCCAATTTGGACCAACTGCAGATCCTCTCTAAGCCATAGTCTGGGAACAATCGTCTTGGGAGACGCACTTGTCCGTGCTCCAGAAGTAGGCCCATTGACCATGATCTGTCCTTACATCTGGGAGCAGCCCCATAATCCAGTTTCAGCCCCTCACAGCTACAGTCTGGAAGCAGTCCTGCCTGCCCAGGGACCCAGAGGGAGACAACGCCCATCCATGTTCTATGGTCAAGCCTGCCCACTTCAGTCTGACTGCAGATCCTGAAGCAGTCTGACCTGGTTCCAGCCCCTCTCAGCCATAGTCTGGGGCCAGTCCTGTCCACTCAGAGGTTGGTGAAGTGTTGGGAGCATTCCCAGAGACCCAGAGGGAGCCAGTGTAATACCACAGACACTTTGTAATATCCAGTGTCACCAGCTGCTACCAATGTCACCTCCATTTCATATTTGGGCAAACCAAGGCACATAGCTGGTGACGGACATCCCCAGTTGTGAACCCTGCTGGTTTTAATGAAAACCCAGTTATCTCTTATACTTAAATATTAATGAACTCTCTATTAAATTGTTCTGTACCACCATCAGGTTTAAATGTGATGGTGAGGCCTAGAATTTATGTTTGTCTTTGTTTATTAGTTTCAAGCTAAAGCATCTTTAGTACCTAAAACTGACCTTTCATTTTAGAAAACCAATCCCTGGTTAATCTGGCATCTTTTACTTATGTGTTTTAGGTACAATTTCATTTTCTGTTAAACGCAGACAAGATGATGACTCTCAGGAAGACTCAGATCAAGATCAATGTCGAGCACCCTCCTTTGAAAAATCATTATCAGAACTATTCCACAAGTTTGATGAAGAAGACTCAGGTAAATTTATGATTAAGGAAAGTTTCATGATCACTTTTCAATCATTCACTTTTAAATGAACAAATATTTTACATTCATAAGGTATATGCAAATGTGTGTTGCATATATCTGTAAGAATTTTATTGTATTATTTCAGGATTAACTTTATGTAGTTTACTTTCTGGATTTGTACAGCTTTTAACATTAATAGATTACTTCAGCTTGAAGGCTGTCTCTTTCATAAGTGAAAAACTTTATATATACTTGTTATTAAACAAAAAATTACAGTAAATTTCTGATAAAATGTTAATGAGTATGTAATTTTAACAAGGTAATATGCTTTTCTTCAGCGTAGGAGATGATAGCAGTCTTCCTCATATGCAGAAGAAAGTCAGTGCTATTTTTTTCCTTCCTGTATTATAAAGCTTTATTTGAATGTTGTTAAACATATCTTTTTAGTAGAAATTCAAAGGAAATTGAGATAATGGAGACTTGGAAGGCATAGGGTAGATTTCCTGGAAAATGGGTAACTGAGTTCTCTTATGGGTGAGTGGCAGGGACATCAGAGGGCATTAGAGAAGAGTGGGTCAACAGAAGCAAAGCTGTGGAGACAATGAGGTATATCAAAGAAGAAATCTTTATTGAATGACTTTGTGTTTAGTCAGGATTCTTCAGTAAAACAGACACTACCATAATATAATGTAATGTAAATAGATATATATAGAGAGAGAAACAGAGAAAGAGAGATGTTGAAAAATTTTTTAAAAGATTTTGTTTATTTGATAGTGTAAGAGCATAAGCAGGTGAAGGGCATGCAGAGGGAGAGGGAGAAGCAGGCTTCCTGTTGAGCAGAGAGCCCCACATGGGCCTGATCCCAGGATCCTGGGATCATGACCTGAGCGAAAGGCAGGAGCTTAACCAACTGAGCCACCCAGGCTCCCCAAGATCTTGAAATTTTTAAAAAATGGCTGACATGATTGTGGGGACTGGCAAGTCCAAAATCTGTATGCCAAGCAAGCAGGGCAGAGAATTTGGTAAGAGTTGCTGTTGCAATCTTGGGTCCAAATTCCAGAAGCAGGCCAGGCAGGCTGCAAGCTCAGGCAGGGTTTCTCTTTCAGTCTTGAGTAAGAATTGCTTCTTCTTCAGGTAACGTCAGTATTTGCTCTTAGGGCCTCCAACTGATTGGAGGAGGTATACCCACATTATGCAGGGCAATCTGCTTTACTCAAACTCCACTGGAAAAAACAAACAAACAAACAAAAAAACACCTTCACAGCAAGGTCTGAGACTGGTGTTTAAGCAAACAACTAGACATCATAGTCCAGCCAGGTTGACACATAAAATTAACCATCACAGGGGTGTCTGGGTGGCTCAGTCATTAAGCGTCTGCCTTCAGCTCAGGTCATGATCCCAGGGTCCTGGGATCGAGCCCCGCATCGGGCTCCCTGCTCGGCAGGAAGCCTGCTTCTCCCTCTCCCACTCCCCCTGCTTGTGTTCCCTCTCTCGCTGTGTCTCTCTCTGTCAAATAAATAAAATCTTTAAAAAAAAAAAAAATTTAACCATCACAGAATACATGGATTAAGAGTGATTATTTAGGCACTATTCAAAATGGTTTGGAAAGGGAAGAGCAGTTGGGGCCAGCTAGGCAGGCCACTGGCACAGCAGACTGGCTTTGAAGTGAAGAGAACAATGTATTTTATGGTGGCGATGGGGATAGAGGCGTACCATTAAAGATAGAAAACATTTCAGATTTTAGCATTAGATGACTCGCTCTCTTTTTTTTTTAAGATTTTATTTATTTGTTTGACAGAGAGAGACACAGCGAGAGAGGGAACACAAGCAGGGGGAGTGGGAGAGGGAGAAGCAGGCTTCCCGCCAAGCAGGGAGCCCGATGTGGGGCTCGATCCCAGGACCCTAGGATCATGACCTAAGCCGAAGGCAGACACTTAACCGACTGAGCCACCCAGGCGCCCCCCCCCTTTTTTTTTTAAAGATTTTGTTTATTTATTTGAGAGAGAGAGAGAGAGCACAATTGGGGAAGGAAGGGGCAGAGGGAGAGTGAGAAACAGACTCCCCGCTGAGCAGGGAGCCCTATGCAGGGCTCGATCCCAGGACCCTGAGATCATGACCTGAGCCAAAGGCAGACGCTTAACCGACTGAGCCACCCAGATGCCCCTAGATGATTTTCTTAAGAGAGGAGATGAAAGAGGATTGATTCTAAAAATGAGCAGGGTTTGTTTGTATCTTGGTGAATAGAAAAATATTAAGATATTAATTTAGAAGTGTTGGGACTTTGTTAAAATAACATTTGTTAAGTAGACCCCTGGGGTGTCAGATGGTGTGTCAAGGTTCAACAAAAGGCCACAAGGGAAAGTGAAAGAGTTTATTACTCACAGGTCCTGGAGGACTCATACTGCACTCCTCAAGGGGCCACATGGGGAGGTCAAGGCAGGGTGCAAAGAGAGAAGAAGGACCTGCGCACATGCCTTAATGAGGGTTCTCAGAATGCTTTGTGGTTCCTGGGCTGAGGCCAGATTGGTTAATTCAAACCAAAAAGTAGGATTTTGGTAAGCATCACGGGGGTCTCATCTAAGGGCCGCGCAATGGGAAGGCCCTGGGAGACAGAGGAGAGTGCTTATCACAAGAATGGTTAGGGAGTCATATCAGAAATTCACATTTACTTGTAACTGTGTAGGCTGTTATCTAGTGTGTGTACTCTCCAGAGGACTACTGTCAGTTCAAGGCCCATGCAGCCCACTTGGCCACACAAAATGGATGCAGAGACAGCAATATTATGGAGTAATTTAGTTGTTGAACTATCAACAAGAAGAAATAAAAAGTCTGGGAGATTATAATGCTTGGCACAGTTTTGTGCTTGCTGATTTTGATGTGACAGCAAGACATTTATGTAGCAATATCCAGTCATCAATTGAATATTTGGAGCTGAGACCAGAAAAAAAAAAAAAAACAGGTTGTAAAGTTTTAGGGTTTCTTTAATTGAAATCGTGCAGGTAAGTTCAAAGAGCAGATGACTGCTGTAGATGGATTATGCTAGGAGTGAAACTCCCATTGAAAACTAAGGCAGAAGAACCATGAAGGAAAGCCAGGTAAAAGTGTTCGAAAGAAAATCAGAATATTATGGTATCATGTTAATGGAATAAAAAAGAGTGGGGATATCTAATAAGAAAATCTGCATGATGTGATGACATGTTGCAAGATAGATTAAGAGCTAGGAAAAAATGCATCTAATAATATTACAAGTATCCCCAGTTCTTCAAAGTTGTCTTCTTATATCAGACAGGATTAACCTTTCCATCTCCTATAATAACATGGAACTTTTTCTTACTGATTGCTCAGCAGTGTATCTCTTTTCAATTAGGGAAGTTTCAGTTAGGTAAAATGAGTAAGTTTTGGAGAACTAATTAATGTACAACATGATTATATTTAATAATACAGTAGGGTATACTTGAGATTTGCTTGGAAGGTAGATCTTCAATGTCTTCACCACCCCCACCAAAAATCAGTAATTATGTGAGATGATGGATGTGTTAATTAGCTTAATTGTAGTGATTATTTTATAATGCATACTATATCAAATCAAGTTGTACCTTAAATATATATAATTTTTAATAGTTATACCTCAACAAAGCTGGGACCAAAAAAGAAATGAAAACAATAGGATTTTTTTAACTTTTTCCAAATTGGAAAATTTGAAAAATATTAGTAACACCCAGTTTTGATGAAGGGCAAGTTGAAAGAGACAATTTTATGCATTGTAATGGGAATTTGAGAGCATTTACAATATGCTTAGAACTTTTTTTTTTTAGATTTTATTTTTAAGTAATCTGTATGCCCAATGTGGGGCTCGAATTTACACCTCTGAGATTACGAGTCACGTGCTCTACCAACTGAGCCAGCCTAGCACCCCTAAAACTTTTAAGATTTTTTTTATCCCTATTGATCCAATGATTTCATTCTAAGAAATTAGTTTGAATAAAATAATCAGAGATATGCACACATTTTTCTGTAAGAATGTTCATTATGTGATCTATTATTTTGAATAATTGAAACTTAAATATTTTAGTTTTACAATTTTATTTAAAGTAATTTTGAATATGTATTACGTGCACATAAATTTTTTCCCACTTTTTTGAAAAATAGTTGACATACAGCACTCTGTAAGTTTAAGGTATGCAGCATGATGGTTTCTTTACATACATTGTGAAAAGATTACCACAATAGGTCCTGCTGATATCTATCTTCTCATATTGATGCAGTGAAAAGAACGGGAAAAAAAGGAAATAAAATGTCCTGTGATAAGAACTCTTAGGATTTACACTCTTAACAACTGTCCTCTATATCATACAGCAGTGTTAGCTATACTCATCATGTTGTAATTACATTGTAGTTCTTATTTCTCTTATAACTGAAAGTTTGTATCTTTTCACGACTTTTCTCCCTTTCCACCTCCTTCCCATGCTCGACCTGTGATAACCACAAGTCTAATCTCTTTTTCTGAGTTTTTTTTTTTTTAAAGATACCACACTTAAGTGAGGTCATACAATGTTTTTCTTTCTCTTTCTGATTTATTTCACTTTAGCATAATGCCTTCAAGGTCTGTCCATATTGTAAATGGTAGGATTTCCTTGTTTTTTGTTTTTTGTTTTTTAATGGCTGAATAATATTCCATTCTATACATATATCTCACAAATTCTTTATCCATTCATCCTCGATGGGCACTTAGGTTGTTTCCATATCTTGGCTATTATAAATAATGCTGTAATAAACATGGGGTGCATACATCTTTTCCAAGTAAATGTTTTGGTTTTCTTCAGATAAATACCCAAATGTGGGTATGAAAGTTTTATTTTAAAATTTTTGAGGATTGTCCATACTGTTTTCCATAGTGGTATAACTGTACCTAACAAGAGTTCATCTCTCCAATGTCCAACACGCCAATAAAAAAAAAAACTGAGCATTTGCACTGAAGAAAGGCTATTTATTTGTGTGGCACTACCCCGGAGAACAGGGAACTAGTGTTCAAAATCGTGAATTCTCTGATGGCTTGCAAGTGAGGGTTTTTAAGGGCAAAAATAAGGGTAAAGGGTTTGGAATCATGGGTTCTTTTGATTGGTCAGGGATTGGGTAAACTTCAAGACTAATTAACTGGTGCCAGGTCACCTGTCTCTTCAAGACTATGGTTGAGTGGTCATTTCCTTCACTGGTCCAGGTTTACAAAATATTGCAGCAATGTTTGTCAGTGATGCTGTCTTTATTAGCAAAAGCAGAGGCTATACACCTTAAGACTACGATGTCTGCACAGGCTGTTTCATTTCCTGTTCCCTTGGGCTACATTTTCATTATCTTTTTTTTTTTTTTTAACTTTATTTATTTATCTAAATTTTCCCTACGCCTGTCAGGGCCTTGAACTCACAACCCCAAGATCGATAGTCTCATGCTCCTCCAACTGAGCTGGCCAGGCACCCCTACATTTTCATTATCTTAAGCAAAGCATATTCTAAGTTATTCCTGGTATTTTTCCCAATAGTCTTTAACTATGGGCTACATGCCTTTCTGCAGATTTAATTCTGTTGGCGGTTTCAGGGACTGCACCAATTTGTATTTGCCACCAACAGAGCACAAGGGTTACCTTTTCTACATATCCCACCAACACTTGCTGTTTTCTGTTCTTTTGATAGTAGCCATCCTAATGGGTGTGAGGTGATAGCTCATTGTGGTTTTTGATTTGCATTTTCCTAATGATTAGGGATAAAACTCAAGTTCTAATAGCAGATGTTGTCTGAAGGATAAAAATATGTTTACACACACATATAGATACATCAATTTTATATAATTTGTATACCCCAGTGTATTTATATATATGTGTGTGTATCTATACATCTATGTCTTTATTGACATATCAAGCCTGGAGTTTTATACAAGAAAAATAAGTATTTATCCTTAGTCATGAGATAATGAATAATTGTCATCTTTAGGCTTTTCAGGAATTTTTAAAGTCATTATAGTGAATGTTATTGATTTTAAAATTAGCAAAAAGTTTTAATGTGTTTAAGGCCTGTAGCTAAACAGTGTTTAATAATTATTAGTTTTGTTCTCACTAATAAATCATCTTTAATCTTATTCTAACCAGTAAACTCATAATCAGTGTATATTTTTAGCACTGTAGGAATTAAATCAGCTACATCATAACAGTGCCTTATGTGATAGTCACAGCAATCACAAACATTAAGTGTTATTGTTTCTGTGATAGATAATTTTAAGTGTCAACCTAGCTAGGTTATGGTGCCCAGATAATAGGTGAAACATTATTCTGGATGTTTCTGCGAAGGTGATTTTGGATGAGAATTATATTTAAATCTGTGAACTTTGAATAAAGAAGATGGCCCTCCCTTGTGTGGGTAGGTCTCATCCAATCAATTGAAGGTCTTAACAGAACCAAGACTGACCTCCCCAGAACAAAAAAGAATTCTACCCATAGACCACTTTTGGATTTGCACTGCAATTCTTTCTTGAGTCTACAGCCCGCTGACCTAACCTGCAGATTTTGGACTTACCAAGTCAATTGCATGAGCCATTTCCTTAAAATCAATCTCTCGCTGCTTCTGTTTCTCTGTCTGTCTATTTATATGCACACACATATTCTATTGCTTCTCTTTCTCTGGAGAACCTTGACTAAGACAGTCCCCATTCCATAGATGAGCAGACTGTTTTATTGTTCTTTGTGCCAGCCCAGAGTTGTGGGGCATTCAGGCTTTATAGTCGTGAAGCCCTTTCTCTCCAGAATTATTTTCCCTGTGAGTTCAGTGTGGATTAAAGCATTGGAAAAGCCAGTGAAATATACATGAGCAACCTAGAAGGGGAAGCATTTTTCATTTTAAGAACTGGTTTATTTTGAGATGTCACATTTAAACATCATAAAAGCATTTAAAGCACTGTCATAGAATTGAAGGAGCAGCCAATACAATCGTGAGCAGAGGTTTTCGCAGTAACCTAACATCAGTATAAAGTTGGTAACTTATTCTCTGTGCATTAATGGTTTCAAGGTAATTAGTTGGTGTCTGTAAAATAAATAAACACAGAAGGCAATTGAAAACGTGGAGTTAAGATCACCCTCAAGAACTTCTCACAAGTATTTGGAATAAGAATTCACATGGACCTTCTCTGTCTCCCTCTCACTAGCTAATTGTTCTGAATGTCTGGATTGTTCTAAGATCCACTAATTTGATAAGTACTTCTTAATAGCTAAAGTATTAGAATAGAGGGGCATACAATACAATATAATATAATATGGTACGAAGTAGTGCATTTCAGTGCAGTAAGATAAAATGCTCCTGGTAGGGGGGGGATAATTTTCCCTCTACCTTTCTAAATTCTTGGCCGAGAGCCCCCTGTGATAATAATAAAAAAAAGATTAGCAGGAAAAAGAAAACAAAAGTTCAGTACATTGTGTTACTGGCTTGGTGCTTTGGTGGCTCATTCAGTTAAGCAACCGAGTCTTGATTTCGGCTCAGGTCATGATTTCAGGGTCCTGAGATTGAGCACTGTGTGGGGCTCCAGTGGGTGTGGAGCCTGCTTGGGATTCTCATTCTCCCTCTCCCTCTGCCCTTAGCCGCTCCTCTCTCTCTCTCAAAAAAAAAAAGAGTATACCTCTTCTATATATGGGATAGAACCAGGAAAAATGAATAACTCCTTGAAATGGCCCAAACCCTTATCTTAAAATACCATCTCCAGCTAAAGACAAAAAAAGATGTTGGGGGATGGAGAGCCAATAATGCAGTTACCAGGAAAGCACAGTAAACAAGTGTAAGGTTGTTTTGCAGGTTTCTAAAGATTTAGTCTCCCAACTTCCTAGTACAGAGAGGGAGACACCCTTACAAATGCAGATTTCCTTTAGAAATGTAAATGTCTCTTACAAAAGGGTAACTTCTACTCTGTTTTCAGAGCTTCTGTATCTGCAGTTTCTTAAAAATAATCAGCTCAAAATAATCCTTATTCCAAAGACAAATTTTGGGGTAGCAAATTCTTATTTATTTATTATTTTTTTTATTATTATTATGTTAATCACCATATGCAAGCTGGTGCAGCCACTCTGGAAAACAGTATGGAGGTTCCTCAAAAAGTTGAAAATAGTGGGCGCCTGGGTGGCTCAGTTGGTTAAGCGACTGCCTTCGGCTCAGGTCATGATCCCAGGGTCCTGGGATCGAGTCCCACGTCGGGCTCCCTGCTCAGCGGGAAGCCTGCTTCTCCCTCTCCCACTCCCCCTGCTTGTGTTCCTGCTTTCGCTGTCTCTGTCTCTGTCAAATAAAAAAAAAAAAAAAAAATAAAAAATAGAGCTACCATACGATCCAGCAATTGCACTACTGGGTATTTACCCCAAAGATACAAATGTAGGGATCCGAAGGGGTACGTGCACCCTGATGTTTATAGCAGCAATGTCCACAATAGCCAAACTGTGGAAAGAGCCAAGATGTCCATCGACAGATGAATGGATAAAGAAGATGTGGTATATATATATATATATATATATATATATATATATACACAATGGAATATTATGCAGCCATCAAAAGGAATGAGATCTTGGCATTTGCAATGATGTGGATGGAACTGGAGGGTGTTGTGCTGAGCGAAATAAGTCAATCAGAGAAAGACATGTATCATATGACGTCACTGATATGAGGAATTCTTAATCTCAGGAAACAAACTGAGGGTTGCTGGAGTGGGGGGGTGGGAGGGATGGAGTGGCTGGGTGATAGACACTGGGGAGGGTATGTGCTATTCGGTGGCAAATTCTACTCCACTTCACCATGCAATACAATTCCATACAACACAATGTACTGCAATATACAACACTCTCTTTCAGAAGAGAGAGAGAATTCCACTAGTCTGGGACCCTTATTTCAGATGAGGAAACTGAGACCCAAAGAGGTTAATAATTTACCTAAGTAAGTTAGGCAAACATAGCAGTACATGGAATCTTTAAAACATGACATACTGATTTGAATATGCATATGAATAACTAAAATTGGACGACATCTTAAACCATATACTAGCTCAACACTGGAGAATAAAGAACATTAGAGTAGAAGCTGAACAGATCAGGCTAAACAAATGGAAAACTTGAGTTTGATGCCAGCACATACCCTGCTACACAGGACTGTTGTGGTGGACCAAGGTTCCAGTGGCAGGATTTGGGAGGATGACTTTAGACATCACCAGCAACAGAAGTGCCTACTTTAAAAAAAAAATATCAGGAACCCAGATGTAAACATTACTTTCTCACCATGTAGTTCATTCCCAATCCAGCTTCCTTTAGGCTAAATTGCTAGAATCCTTTTTTACACTTTCAAGAAAAGAAAAATCTCATCAACTATTCCTGATTGTGTCCTTAGACTAGAATCTTTTGGTACTAGAAATGTACCACTGTGAATTATAATATAATCCTTAGATAGTTCTATATATAATATGTGAATGTTTTGGCAATTGGGAAAATGATTGGTTATTTCTTTTGAAATATTAATTCTTAGAAGTAAAACATTCTTATTTTAGTAGGGAATATAATGAGTTCCTGGGGCAGTTGGAGGACAGGGAGCTTTTATAGGGCAAGCTCATGGCTATGCAGGATGGCGCTTCTCTTTGCACTCACAAATTGTAATGCAATCAGCTTTTCACCTTCCACTTCCGTCTCTTGACAAATGAGTTCATCAAAAAGAGTTTGAAAATGGTATCTATTGATGTTTCTCAAATTTTATGTTAAGTATGATATTCTGAAGCCTACATTAAGAGATGTTTGTTTTTTGTTTTCTGTTTTTCAGATGATAGTGTTAGCAATTTCCAAGTCTGGTATTATCTTGAGATCCATAGCTCTCCGGGACCACCAGTAAACATTATTGAAATGAAATGCCTTGCTCTGGTAAGAACCCATTAAATGTTCATAGACTCTCTTTTTGCAAACAGAGCTTTTGTTGTACGCTTAAATTGCGATCCCTAAAAAAATCCATATTAAATGAGCACATTAGAATAAATTATTCAAATTATACCAGTTTTATTTTAAATCCAGTAATATGGACCTTAAGTGCTTATGGAAAACATCTTTTAGCTCTATGGTATCTTATAGTGGCTTTACTGATTAGAATTCTACATGCATGTTTCAAGAGTTGTCAAGAGCAAACTTAACCTTAGCCTATATGCTTGCCCTCACACATATGGTAAAAGCAGGATTATGCTCTTGTCAGGGATCAGGAATATCCTGTCCCCTCAAGGTTTTTCTAGCTGGACTAAGAATCAAATTGACATGAGACAGATTAACAGAAGAAAATCAAATTTAATAGTGTATGTCTGGGGAATGCACATAGACATGGAAATTCCAAAGACAGACAAAATGAGGTCTATATGTCATTCTGAATTAAAGAGAAGGGGAGAGGGGTCTGAGACTTCAAAGGGAAGGAATGCAATTTATATAAAGGGGAAAAAGAGTAAATATTTGGTAAGCAAATGTTTGCTAGGCCTCTTGGGAAACAAGGGGATACAGAGAACTTTGATCAAACAGGCCTTTCTAGGTTCCTCCCTGCCTATCGCACCCATTTCATACTATAATGTAGTTTGTGGTGATAGCTCTCTTCCTGGAGCACGTCTTCTGTCTAAATCCTTTTTATGCTGTTGAGGAGAGAGGTAAAGAGATTTTCCTGAATCTGCTGGGTTTTGATTGCTTTTTAACTCAAAATAATCTTCGTGCCAAAGTGGCCCATTTTGAGGAGGCCTGCCTTTGGTTCCTATAGTCTCTTGACTCTTTCAGTACTGATTCTTCCTGGTTTCTACATCAGGCCTTTCACTTTGAAACACATTTGGAGTAACAGGCATAGATTTGGCATTTTATTTTATTTTATTTTTTTAATATAATTTAATTTTATTATGTTATGTTAGTCGCCATACAGTACATCATTAGTTTTTGATGTAGTGTTCCATGATTCATTATTTGCATATAGCACCCAGTGCTCCATGAGATACATGCCATCCTTAATACCCATCACCGGTCTAACCCATCCCCCGACCCTCCTCCCCTCTAAAACCCTCAGTTGGTTTCTCGGAGTCCATAGTCTCTCACAGTTTGTCTTCCCCTCCGATTTCCCCCCCTTCGTTTTTCCCTTCCTTCTCCTAATGTCCTCCATGCTATTCCTTATATTCCACAAATAAGTGAAACCATATGATAATTGACTTTCTCTGCTTGACTTATTTCACTTAG